TTTCAAGTATTATTTTCGCAGGAATTCCAAAATAAAATCCAATTTTGGGTTACTCCGAAACGTCTTATAAACAGTTACATCTTCAGTCTACAAAGAAATAATTCTTTTTAATAATAATGTTGTAACCAATACGCGCCGACTATCATCGAGTCAAATCGGTTTCACTTAAAAAAATGACTTATTTAATTACAAAAACAAAAATTTTAAAGTGCTTACAAAATTAGACTGAGTATACTAGTATTTATAGTAGACAGAACCGTAAAGTCAGATTTGTATTTCCTTTTCTTTATCGCAAATTCTGAAACGGCAACACTGATGTCGATTTAGCGTCACTCTGCATCGGCGCCCGCGCAGTCTTTCGCCGTCTTGGAAGTTGACTGTACGCTTGGTTATTCGTGGTGTTTTTTCTTGTGACTCGGCTGTGCTTTTGGACTACTTCTATTTTCAATCTCGTTGACCTTGGCTTGGATATTTTGGACTTGATTCTGTGTGAACTCTTTTTCAACATGTCGAAAAGAGGACGTGCTTTAAATAGCCAGACTCGCGAACTGGTTGTGAAATTACACGACTATTTCGAAAGGGAGTCACTTAATGGTGGACCTCTATTACCAGTGACACAAGTGCAAAATCGCGTCGCAAGTGCACTTGGAATCGGCAAAAGAACGGTACACACCATCATACAAGAAAAATATGGGCCTTCCGGCTCTCAAGAAAACGTATTACATACGCCTAGAAAGAGGAAGAAAAGCAAGCCTGTAACAGGTATCGACACGTTCGATGCAGACGCTATTCGTAACCATGTTTATACATATTATACTAGACACGAGTACCCTACTGTGAGTAAATTGTTGGTATCACTTCGAGAGCTTGGCTTATTTACTGGGAGTGCTACCTCACTGATTACAATTTTGAAAAAAATTGGTTTTAAATACAAGAAGTCTGACAAAAGAAATATTATGATGGAAAGACATGATTTAATATTACAAAGAGTTTCATTTTTGAGAGAAATGAATAAAATTACAAATTGGGATAATGTTGTGTTTATCGATGAGACTTGGTTGAACTCAAACCACACAGTACCACAATCATGGACCGACGACACTAAAGCATCCAGCTCGAAAGTGCCAATGGGAAAAGGTGGTCGCCTCATAATTTGCCATGCTGGATCAGCCGGGGGAGGTTTCGTTAATAATGCTTTACTAGCATTTGAATCAAAAAGTACAAAAGAATATCACGAAGAAATGGACGCAAACAAATTTAAAGAGTGGTTTAAAACTTTACTTCAGAACCTCCCCGAACAATGTACAATAATTATGGACAATGCATCGTATCATTCGGTTCAAATAGATCGAGCGCCGACTCAGGCAAATAAAAAGGCTGATTTGGTGGCATGGCTACAGAGGAATGGTGTCGAAGCTGACATGGAGCTATTGAAAGTGGAATTGTTAAGATTAGTGCGAGAGCATAGACCTACAAAACTTAGGTATGAAATTGATGAATTGGCACTTGAGCATGGACATAAAATTATAAGGACACCGCCGTACCACTGTCAATACAATGCTATTGAGTTGATTTGGGCTCAAATTAAAGGTTAATATTTTTGCATTTAATACTGTTATTTTAAATTCGTATATATTAAGACTTATTTTGTACTAGTAGCATATTTTAATAAAGTACAAATGTAAAGAGGTAACATATAAACTTTCGAATTTGTAATATCACTGTGAAGGAACATTACTATTTTACAACAGTGTTTTTTTTTTACAGGCTACGCAGGACGTAATAATACTAAGCCACCGTTCTCCACAAAAAAAATGATGACTTTATTAAAGGAAGCATGTACTAAAGTAACAAAGGAAGACTGGAGAAAGGTGGTGGAAAAAACTAGAAAACTAATAAAAGAAGATTTTGACAGAGATGTTAATATTGATAATTTAATTGAAAACGAGTTAATTATATGGACTGGTGAAACTAGCTCAACAGATGGTTTTGGTTCATCTTCCGATGACGTTGATAAATAAAAAATTCCAATAAGGAGGTCTTTTGTTTTACTTCAGAATTTTGTTATTTACGTACAGGTTATCCTCGTGAACTATGCTAATGTATAACTACAATACAACAACAAGTACAGGTTGCCGTTGTGCTCACTTAAAATACTTACTTATTATTTCTATTAAACTGTATAACGTTTAAATAAATGTTGATTGATATATCTAGAACTGAAAAGCAATGAACAGAAAAATAACCTAAACGATTACAAACTCCTAAAATTTTTAATCGATTTCTCGTGAGAATCGTTTAAACTGGTTACCGATATTGCAGTTCACATCACTATTTACGTTGCGATGACATGTGTCAAATATGATCTATTATTTTGTGACGACTATAATTAATTAATAATAATTTCATAAATGATTCAAATATGTCGGAAGAATTTCATTTAATTTGTTTTTGGTTTATTTTACTTTTAATTGTAATGTACGGACAACAGCAAGTCCATCAATACATAAATGTCAAATTTATCCAATCAATTTTATACTCTATTCCCTGGACTTTAAGTTGAAAATCAATTGAGGAAATCTGACAGTTTGTGGCGGCCTGATGTGCTGCCGACTGTACATTGCAATTAATTAGATAGGTATAATATAAACTTGTAAAAGTTCAATTGGCTTTAATTTTTTCTTTTCAATAACTGAACAATTATTGTTCACGATATCTCGAGATTGGTCGTCACTGTCTAATCTCATGTGCGTTGCGAGCAGCAAGCAACCCGCCCCCTCACCCCTGTCCCTACCTAAGGCGCGGCCAGCTAGTTCCGCGCGCACTATAATATAAATACAAAATGAGAAATGCCACTCAGCGAGAGCCGGAAAGTTTCCCTTTTTTGTGCACAACCACACGAAAGCCACCGAATATGTTTAAATTTAAACCAGCGCTTTTGAACAAATTAAAAAAAGACTGCGAGGTGGCCATCTGATCATCTGACACCCCTGATTTTTTCTTTGGAAGAACGTAAAGAAATATGTTTTGTAAAAAAATACAACTGTATTCAAGAATTGAAAGTTGCACTTGCAATTTTCAATAGAATCAATCTGAGTAAAATTTCAGCCGCTACTTGCTCTTTATAGAAGAGCGAATTAATACATCCATCGAGGCAATCAACTTTAGCACTTACTACCATGGTTATTTTTCTTTTCGTGTAGAAAATACACAATACGTTGCCAGTATGTTTGTTTCCTTTCCATTAATTATTAAATGTCCGTATGAAATTATATGGTACAATTATCTTGCTATTTTTGACATTTTTAGTACTCTTACCTCAGTTGGTCACACACCAGAAATAGAATTGCCTTTATTTGCCATATATATAGTCAGCCGACTATATCATTTTCTCAAAATCTGTGAATGCCAATCGGAATACCTTTAAAATTCATGGACAATCTCCTTACACCATGTGACCGCGCGATTTCGATCCGAAAAAAAAATGTATAACAATTGCAAAAACCTAAGAACTCGATAATCTTCAAGGATCATTTTCCAGTAGAGACAACGGTTAAGGTAGCCCTTGTTGACCCGTCTCAAATTTATCCCTATACACTAAAGTATTAATTTTCAATGAATTGGTTATTATATCACTAGCAATTTTGTTAAATATTTCAGCACTCTCAATTACCAACTGATAACCAAATATATCAATACTAATTTTACCTATGAGAACATCAGTGCAACTATCCTTTATTCACACCAAGTGCAGAAATGTGAAGTTAAAATAGCTGCAGATTAGCCATAGAGTAAAAATAGCACAAAAAAAACTAAATACATATTATATACAACCAAATTAGATGTAAGATGATGACAAGACACAAGTTGAAGAAAAATTTGCAGAAATCAGTGAACAGTTTGTTTCAAATACTTATAATATTTTTTAAACTAATAGCTTTACTTAAAACAAATAAATTGACCTTATTCCAATATGGATGAAGACAACACACAACATATTTGCTGTTTCAACCACACCTGATCTAACACAGAAATTAATATCGCCTAAACTGTTTTTTAAACTTTTCGTAATGGTAATCATCAGTTGCTCTTTCTCCTTTTGCCTTTTTCACTATCTTTTCAACATTTTCATCTATAACATTAGTTTCAGTCTTTGCAACTTCAGGTTTCTCTACTTTTCTTTTTTTAGAATCGTTGTCCATATTGAATCTATTGTGTTGGACAAAGTTTACAGCCATGTTAGTAGGTACAAACTGTGAAGGACCATCTTTTTTGTTTTGTCTCTCCCATAAAAGTTTCATTTTAGCTTCTTCTGTAGCTTCTATGTTTTTAATTTTAGCATCTATGCCCAAGTCAACCTCAGGTATGCCACTTAACATTTGGTTAGATAACATCTCTTCAGATCGGTGTGTGGAAGAAACCCGGAGGTGTTCAGGGAGAGAAAGTAATGCAGCTTCTTCAGGGGATAAATATTTCAAACTATCATTATGATCTGCCACTCCTGAGGCTTCCTTTTTCCCTTCTGCAACAAAATTAATAAATATTACTGAACAGATATTCCAGAGTTGTATGTAAGGGAGCATAGAGGAAATTTATTTAGATCAGATAAAGGAAAAAGTTAATATCGTGTCAGGAAATCAAGGCTAAAGCGCTAAAAAGAGATGATTGGAGATTACTCCAACGACACGAGGCTAGCTCTTAAATGAGAAGAAGAGGAAATACTCTGAAGACTGAAAAATAAAATGTGGCCACCCCTGGAGATGCAATATAACATTGACATTTGTGACATTTTCATTAGAAATGAAACTTGTGAAAAAAAATTCCTTACGTGTCCTGTCACTTAGTTTACATTCTAACCCCAAATTGTCATATCCTAAAACGATTAAATATAAGACTGAATACTCATTAGCGAGCTGTAACTGTACCATGAAAGATACAATACCGAGATTCCAGTGCGTACGTTGAACAGTCTTCAATCGCTACAATGAATATATGGTTATCGTCGGCGCATTACGAAACGCATGCGTTCTGCTCGCCCAAGCTCGCAAACTACATACACACTATGACTTTTGGTAACATAACACGCAACAGTTACAGCCGCCATTGATACCCGGCTTCAGGTTTAAGGACACTATAATTAATTTCATGTAAAACGGGTATGGTGACGTTTGAAATTTGAAGTTTCTAGCGACATAGTGACGTCAAACCAAAAGGAAAAAAAGTCAATTAACATATCTTTAATGAGATAATTTGTAACATAGAGAGAATTGATTTAGGGACAATAATTTAAGGACAAATAATATTGTTTTAGGGATAATAATTTAAGGACAAATAATAAACAAAATAAGAAGAATTCAATTATTATGTTAAGTTACTAAATAACTACACAGTAAATAAAAAATCTACAGTAACCAATCAAAGTCAACAATAAAGCATAAAATCAACAGCAACAACACAAAATTTTAGTAATAACTCCAAAACCATTCATACAAAGCTCAAAACAAAAGAAATCGAGATGTATGCACTCCTACTGAAGCATGTCACGCAATAGCCAGTTCTATTTATTGATTCTATGGCGTCAACTCTATGGAAAAATATTCTATTTTACGCATCAAGTATATGGGGTAATTTATTTTCATCTTTATCATTTCTATTTCTATCTACTTAATATACTGTATGTTTACAAGGATACGGAGTCGCGTAACTTGGTTGTTGTATTGGATAGTGATCTAAGATTTGAAAAACATGTCATGGATATAGTGAGTAACTGTTTTTATAGACTGAGGGTTTTATACCGTGTCCGTTAATATTTTAGTGTAGATGTGCGGGCCCATCTATGTAAAGCCCTAATTTTATCAAAGCTTAATTACGCCGACACCGTAATTGGCGACCGTTTGCTGGCTAGGACTAAGACTCTTATACAACGAGTCCAAAATGCATGTGCCCGCTACTGTTTCGTGATTCCTCCTCGTTGCCATATTTCGCCCTATCTCAATCGTAATAATCTACTGAACATGACATCTCGTCGTACACTTCATTTTCCTTGCCTTCTTTTTGGAATAATTAGAACACAAAATCCTTCATATCTTTTTGACAAACTAAATTTTTCCCATGCCACAAAAGAACGGCTTCCCGTTTAATTTGCCCCAGACACGACATTTCAGTGTTTTGTGGCAGTTTCCGTTATGCTTCCACGAAGCGCTGAAACAATATACCCCGCAATAGGGCTGCTGGTGGCATTATGTCCTGTTGGATGGAATGAAGTAGTAACCTCCGCAGCCTCCATATATGTTGTTTAGTATGTTACAGTTGAAAGTCCAAACGGGTAAAGAACTAGTGGTAACAAATCCAGTTGTATTAGTATTTATTTATTGAGGTTTTAACAATACTTACGATTTAACTAAAATATGCTAAAAATGCATACTACAAGAGATTTTTAGTAAAATGGTAAACGGTTCAAAAAAAATTACAAGAAGATGTCTTCTCTGCCGCAATCGGGCAGGGAGTGACGATGGAACGAAACAAAATCAGAATGCGAGGCAAAACAATGGGACAATTCAAAATTTGAATTTAAATACGAGTGTGAGAATAAAATAAGAAATTTAAATAAAAAGGTGGGATGACGATATGCAAGGAGGTCTCACCATCACAACCCTCTCCACTCAGTAACTCTAAAAATGCTGTCTTTTAAAAAAACTAAAATTTTTTTTCTAGAATTGCAAAAAAGACAGGATAATACTGAATATTATGTTTGCATATACATATGTATATGCTTAGAATAATAACGCATAGAAGGATAGTTTCATATCAAACGAACTGTCACAAGTGAGGCAAAAACCAAATTCATGTAGGCGTAAGCAACTTGTAACTACGCTCGTCGGCACGCACACAAATATACAAATAATGATGCCATGGAATAACATTTCCCTCAAAAGTGGGGAAATTGTATCTTGCTTAACTCATCATTAAGTTAAAGGTGCCTACAGATTTGCCCGACATTGTCGATCAGGTGCCTACAGATGTGCTCGGTTTTGTCGATGAAAAACGAATATAGCACTTATTTGTAAATCCAAGATGGCGGACACGATTTTTCAAAATATGCTATATGGGTATCCTTTTCGAGGTATTTGGGGATGCTCATTACGAATATGGCACTCATTTCTAAATCCAAGATGGCGGACACGAGTTTTCAAATAAATGCAATATGGGTATCATTTTCGAGGTACTTGGGGGTGCTCATGACGAATATGGCACTCATTTCTAAATCCAAGATGGCGGACACGATTTTTTCAAAAAAATGCTATGTGGGTATCATTGACGAGGTATTTGGGGATGATCAATGTGAATATGGCACTATTTGTAAATCCAAAATGGCGGGCACGATTTTTCAAATAATGGCAAGTTGGGTATCGTTTTCGAGGTATTTGGGGGTGCTCATTACGAATATTGCTTTTGTTTGAACTGTCGTGTTTGCCATCTTGGATTTAGAAATGAGTCCCATATTTGTATTGAACATTCCCAAACATCTCGAAAACGATACCCAACTTGCCATTATTCGAAAAATCGCGCCCGCCATCTTGGATTTAGAAATAAGTGCCATATTCGAAACCTAAAACCGAAAATGCCATAAGCAAACATTAAAGAAAATAACTGTTAAAATAGATTAAAAAATCGCTTAAGAATGCTCCCCTTTTAAGAAAATAAAATATTTTAATATAAAATATTTCGCTTGAGTTACGAAAAGAAAGACATATAATAAGCTATCAAAGTTGTACTGGTGGTGCCAACACTATAGTAGAAACAAATATATACTGTAAATTTGTTGCAATATGTGCTCCAATTCAAATAAAATTAATATAAATAATTATTCAATAAAGCATGAACGCAGAGCCGTTAAAAGTATTATAAAATAATTAAGTGTCCCAATCACTTACAGGAGTTAACGAAAACATTTAATGTTTATTCAAGTAAATATTAGTTCAAGATGCGCAAATAAATCGAAATTACAGGCACCACTAAAATTTACGTAATATAATTATTTTGATACAGAATAGCAAAATGGGGAGAAAAAAAATTCGTTACTTTGCAACACTTTCGTATCTTGTTGCCGCGAAATTATTTTTCTGTTTTAGTGAATATTTACATAAAAATATGAGTTGAAACGCATTACTTACTTGTGGAATGCGATGTTAGTGTCTATTTTGTTTGTCTGTTGTATTTTTACACCCATTTACCGCACATTTCGTCATTTTTAGCAAAAAATTTTGGAGCTGTTCGCGGTGCAATATGACCTTGAGCACTAACAGCCCGCGCGCTCCTGGGACGCGTTTGGAACCCTCTAACTTGCCTCACTTAGCGTGTGCGGGCTAGGTTTCTATGCGTTATTATTCTAAGTGTATATGTATATATATACAGTGGTGGTCGTTTAATTAGAAACACTTCTTATGATTGAAGGAAGTTTAACTTCAACGTACAAATGTTCGTGAAAAATATATAAATGCAATAATAAATAATCATGCAATAATATAGCCACTCAAATAAAAAATCATTAAATGCCTAAAAAATAAAACATATCTTACTTTTAATTATAAAATGAGTCTTACACAATGTACGAGTATATTTTCTGTTCCTGGCCGCTTGGAGGTCTAATTAGAAACATTTGAAAAAAGCATCTATATCTCGTTCTTTTTTTGAAATTGAAGAATAACATTTCTATCTTGATGTTTTCTATTAATTTGGCGGCAATTCAAAATTTGATCTGAATTTAATTTTGTTCAAAATGGGCAAAAATAAAAGTTGTGACGCGTCAACTAGGCAAATAATTGTTAATTTACATTTAGATTTAAAGTGGACGTACAAAAGAATAGCTGAGCATTTAAATTGTTCTGTGAAGAAAGTTTTTAATGCAATTGATCACTATAAAACACATGGAACTGTTGATAATGTTCTTGGAAAGGCTCGGCCAAGAAGAACCTTCCACAGAGAAGATAAGATAATCGTTCGTGTTGCTTAAAAAGACCCATTTAAAGGCTAAAACCAGATTAAAAATGAAGTTTTTTCGCCCGATTTTTTCGTCTCATCAAGACTGATACGCCGAAGATTAGTGGAAGCTAAATTGTTTGGAAGAACCTCTCGAAAGGTACCGCTTCTTACCAAGCAAC